CAAGGGTTCAATTAATCCCACACTGCATGCGCCTTGGGTCTCACATTGGCGGCCGAGACAAGCCACCCCAACAGTTAGCAGCACACCAGTGTCAGCCTTGGCAGGATAAATCTCCCCAGACTTATCCAACGGCTGTGAACATTCAAAACCAACACAAGCCTCATTAAGTGTCCAATTTTAGGTTCTTACACAGAAGCATACCATTGAACATGAACCAAACATGTACCTTATTTATTTACATTAAATATCAAGAGTACATCAGAATTGATTGAAGCTAAGGGCATACAAAAACTGTCCAACAGCTCCCACTTGCACTTAGGTACAATTTGGTACTATTCGGAGTCCCATACTTTCCACGTGTTTCTCAAACACCTTCTGTGTGAGTGGCTTAGTTAATGGGTCAGCCACATTATCCGTTGATGCTACCTTCTGAATCAGGATGTCTCCTCTACCAACGATCTTCCGTAGTACATGGTACTTCCTCCCGATATGCTTTGACTTCAAGTGGGCCTGAGGCTCCTTAGCCTGGGCGATGGCTCCATTGTTGTCACACAACAACGGGATGGGTGATGTGCTGGACGGAACCACTCCTAATTCGTGAACGAACTTCTTCATCCACACAGCTTCCTTGGCAGCTTCACTTGCGGTAATGTACTTGGCTTCGGTTGTGGAGTCTACCGTGAACCCCTGTTTACTGCTTTTCCAGCAAACAGTACACGATCCTATTGTGAAAACATACCCAGATGTAGACTTTCTATCATCTGGATCCAATTGGAAATCGGCATCAGTATACCTTAGAATTTGCAGTGAACTACCATCGAATACCAGACAAAACTCTTTTGTCCTTCGAAGGTATTTGAGTATGTTCTTCACAACTATCCAATGCTCCTGCCCTGGGTTGGCCTAGAACCTACTTACAACACTCACCGCCTGAACAATGTCAGGGCGAGTGCACAGCATGGCATACATGATGCTCCATACGGCTGAGGCATAGGGAACGTCTTTCATGCCCTCAATCTCCTCAGAAGTCTTGGGAGACATCTTCTTGGAGAGAGTGACTCCGTGCCTGAAAGGAACGTTTCCTTTCTTAGAGTTCTCCATGCTGTATCTTTTGACAATTTTGTCAATATAAGCAGTCTGGGATAATCCAATTATCCGCTTTGATCTATCTCTATAGAATCGAATACCCAGTATATATAAAGCATCTCCACAATCTTTCATGGAGAACTACTGCGAAAACCATACATTGACCGAAGTTTACATTCCTACTTCATTCCCAATGAGTAGGATATCGTCCACATATAACACCAAAAAGGTGACCTTATCCCCACTAGACTTCCTGTAAACACAGGGCTCATCTGGATTCTGCTCAAAGTCAAACGATTTGACGGCAGAGTCAAAACGGATGTTCCAACTCCTAGAACCCTGCTTAAGTCCATATATGGATCTATTAAATTTACATACCATGTGTTCCTAACCGGCAATAATGAAGCCTTGCAGTTGTTGCATATAGATATCTTCACTAAGATCTCCATTCAGGAATGCGGTTTTGACATCCATTTTTCAAATCTCGTAGTCATAGTATGCTGCTACAGCTAATAGGATCCTAATGGATTTAAGCATGGCCACGGGTGAAAAGGTTTCCTCATAGTCGATACCTTCTTTCTAAGTATACCCTTTCTCCATCGAATGAGCTTTGTAGGTCTCAATCCTGCCATCGGGGCCCTTCTTCCTCTTATAGGTCCATTTGCAACCAATTGCTTTTTCCCCGGATGGCGGATCTACTAGAGTCCAGACTCCATTGGCCTCCATCGAGTCCAACTCAACTCTCATGGCCTTCACCCACTTCTGGGAGTCTATGTCCAACATAGCTTCCACATAAGTCACGGGATCCTCCTCACTAGTCAAGGCTTCCATCAGGTAACTATCTTGGTCATTAACCATAACGGACTGGTAGCCTAGATACCCGGGTGGATCTTTTAGGTTGGTCACTACCTGGAACCTGCGGGACATCTCCTACTAATCCTGAACTCTCATCATCAAGAACTATTTCCTGACGATGAGTGTCCAAGATATAATCCGTCTCTAAGAACATGGCATTTCGACTGTAGAACACTTTCTGCTCACTTGGGTCATAGAAGAGATAACCCACTGAATCCTTTGGGTAGCCTACAAACAGGCAACGACTGGTCTTGGATTCCAACTTGTTCGCATTCGTTCTTTTAACGTGCACAGGACAACCCCAAATCTTCAAGTGTCAAACACTTGGTTTCTTTCCGGTCCATAGTTTGTATGGAGTTTTCGGA